ATCGAAATTTTCACACGGCTCCCTTTTTTATCTCTTATTAAATATAGTCTATGTTGATCATCTATATAGACTGCCTCGTTGGCCGAGCGGTCGCAAGTGCGACTGCCGGGCAAGGGGTCTCGGTCGTGGTTTTCAATACTTAATGAAAAAAATAACAAATGCACTAGTCGCCCCTGTAATTTTTGAAAATTCCCCTCGGTTTCCCTGGTCTTCCATCATCAGATCCTGATTTCCTTATCATGGGACCATTCTGAGACTATCTCTTTCCAACAAAAAAAAAAAAAGAATTATCGAAATACGGTTCATAAATAACGGAGATATCGGCGAACAATCATACAAAAAAAAGCATATATATGGTCGAATTGAGAACCACCTCCTTTTTTTGAAGTCGGTTAAAAACATACAAACAAAAAATAACTGATGAACTATTACAAAACCAAACTACGAAAGCGCATACGAACTCATAGTACGTACATTATCAAAACATCGCGCCATGTAATTTCAATATTTATTTTTTTCCATTTACGCAGAATGTATGTATTTTTAATATTGTATAGTACTCACACCATATTAATTAATTTATTTCAAATGTTAAACGTGAGGACTTGTAATTGGCTCACTGTTACCTACGCCTATTGTTATTTTTATCCATTTTTATATGCTGTAAGTCCTCCATGAATTATAAATAAATAAATAAATAAATAAATAAAAAGTAATTCTTGAGGAGGCATTTCTCGTCAGGTGGCACGTGCAGTGCGGATAGTGCGTGCTTAACGTGTCGTGTTTGACGAGCGTATTTCACGGTATGGAAAGGGTAGGAAGTAAGTAGAGCGCCGCGTGTACAGGAGCGTGTGCTACGTGCACCACAACCTGAGCGCGGCCGACATCGTGTGCGCCGACGCGGACGACCTGGCGCGGCGCCGCGTGCTGCCGCGGCCCGCGCTGTTCCCCGACGTGGCCGGCGTCAGCCACCTGGCCGCCGACTGGGTGGCCGGCAACTGGTACCTGGTGGACGGCGCGCGCGAGGCGCTGTACGCCTGCACGCGCGACCTGCGCCACTGCCGCCTGCTGGTGGAGGGCGCGCTGGGCAAGGTGCACGGCTTCGCGCTCGACCCCGCCGCCGGCCTCATGTTCTGGACGGTGTGGGGCGCCGCGCCCCCGGCCGTGGAGCGCGCCTCGCTGGCGGGCGCGGGGCGCGCCCCCGTGGCGGCGCTGAAGCTGGTGTACCCGTCGGCGCTGACGCTGGAGCCGGCGGCGCGCTCGCTGTACTGGGCGGACGCCTACCTCGACTGCGTGGAGCGCGCCGACTACAGCGGGGCCAACCGCCGCACGCTGCGCCGCGGATACGCTGTCAGTAACGAACCGGTCCACTACTTGTCGCGCTACTGCACGGGATAACATTCGCTAATCACTATAAAAAGGCGTTTTAACAATCACGGCTCATTTGTTCTAAAGGCTTGTGTTTTCTTAATTCAAGACAAACAGTATCTTACAAATAAATGTTTTTAGTTGCTTGTACATACAATCAAAAATAGAAAATGGAACAGTTTTTTCTACAAAATTTAATTCTAAGTAGATACATGAATTTACCAACAAAGTGACCCCGATATAATTCCCTTCCTAGCGCTCAGTATATTTGTTCTAGATTCTTAATTTATACACATTAAAACTGGTGTTAAAATGTTTAGTCCATGTGAAAATAGAAGAAAGAAGAAGAAAGAAAGAAAGAAAAATCATTTATTTGGCAAATGGCACACAAACAAAGATTATGAAGAATAAAAATACAGACACTTACATAAATAATAAGTAATATGAAATAACAAACTTAAAAGAGTAAAAAAAATAACAAATATCATCAAAATATAAGAAAATAATGTACATACAATGCGAAACATTTGCAACAAGTTTTGACATAAATAGAAATGAAATATAGCAAAAAAACACTAAATATAAATAATATAATACATAGTAATATTGTAGTGCGTGTGCACAAGCCAAAATGGCCTCCACCTCAGCATGTAGTTGAGCGTCCCTGCCCAACAGGGGGCACCCTGCAGTGACTCACGGACGGCGGTACCGCTCCTCAGTAAGGAAAAGAAAATAAATTCTGCAGAATATGTGTGTGTGTGTGAAATGTATAGATCTAATAGTAAATGTAAATACAAACAAAATGTAAAAATGCACCTTCTATATTTACTCTTTTTTTTAATTAACTGAGGGTATTACGTATTTTCGGGCTGCCAAACCAGACAGGCACTATTCTAGTGACAACGTTGCTGAGCTCTGGTTCATTTCGACGCGTACCCACAAAATACAAGTGCCAACACTATGGGAGGGTACTGAAAATAATGTTTGCAAGCGGGAGTTATGTCGGGGTACCCTTATGCTTAGTTCGCACTACGCTTGTATTTTAGTCGAGTATTTAGTAGCCTTCTCTCGCTTCTGTCCCAAAATGGAAGGGAGAGAGAACTATTACTAACTCGTTACTCCATTAAAATACTAGCACAGGGCGGACAAGGCTTTAGATATAACCATTCTAATACAGGGCGACCAGAGGACGATGATGATACAATGTAATAATAAATGATAGACGTATTTAAGTGAAACAAATAAAGTTGGCTAGAGGGCGGGAGTGTGCGCTGTGTGCAGAGTCAGGAGCTGCTGCACATCGCGGCGCTGGGCGGCGTGCTGTACCTGCCCAGCTGGAGGAACTCCAGCGTCCTGCTGGCGGCCCGCGGGCGCGCGCGCAGCCTGCCGCTGGACGCGCGCCCCACCGCCGCGCTCGCCTTCCACCGCGCGCGCCAGCCGCGCAGCGCGCACCCGTGCGCCGCGCGCAACGGGGGCTG